CTGTATACATAAGTGATTGCTTAATAAATATTATTCTGAACCGAACTCTGAGGCAGGAAAAAAATGCAACTTGGTATTTTTGTTCTGAGGGCAGAGTCCATCTCTAGCTGGAGTTTTGCATCTGGAATGTTTTCCTGAGGACGGCTCTGTCACCGATGAGGGTGTCTGGTCGTGTGTGGTAATGGCCTTGTGTGACAGTGTGGGAGGCAGCGTGGGGACTCTCCCTCGGGGTGGGGACTGGAAGCAGCTAAGAGCTAGCCACCAGCACACTGTAAGTGCCCGCAGGGCCTCAGAATCCTCCCGGCTCCCCGCTGGAGGTGGCTGCTGTTTGTCCACATGTTAGACGAGCAACAGAGGCACAGAGAGCGTAAGCAACTTATCTAGGGCTGCACAGCTAAAGCTGGGATCCCGTCCGGCGATTAGACTTGGGAGTCTGAATCCTTGGGCCTCTGGCTGGGGGGAGTCACAGCCGAAGAGCCAAAGTTCTTCCCAGCCCACAGTTCTTCCTGCTCGCTGCCTGTCCTTCCTCTTCCCCTTCCCCTTCCGCTTCCCCTTCCCCTTCCCCTTCCCCTTTGGGGCTTCGCTCAAGCGCGGAGCGTCAGCATTTGCGTCAGCAGAGCAGCCCGCGGACGCCCTCATCTCATCGGCACGTTCGTTGGCGGCGATGAGATCAATAAAGCAATGGAACAAAACCTGTCTTTGAATCCAGGTGGCCTCTGTGTGGGTGCGCAAACTGACCTTCGCCCCAGAGAGGCGGGGGGCATCTCGGGACAGGAAGCCAGGTCCTCCTGGGAGAAGCCTGCCCAAGTGACCCCCGACTTCTGTTACCTGGATCAGAGCTTCGTTAGTGACTTTGGTGGGCCTTGGACATTTTTGCCTCTGTGGGCCCTTTCCTCCCTAAAAAATACCCTAAAATCATGTTTTAGAATTGAGTCTTCTAACTAGGAAGGTATCAGTGTTGTATATTAAGACATTTTCTTGGACCTAAAAGCTTATTTTTCCTCCTGATGTTAAAAGAAAGCGAAACGTTTGCTAGACCCCCGGCTCCGTGCCTGCCTGATGGACGAGCGAGGCCTGGCTGGAGCCTGCGGGCCTGGGCACACTCTCCTCTGCAGGCCTCTCTTCCCACCAGACCTGCGTCCAGGGCTCACGGAGGGCCGGGCCCGTTCTCGCGCTGAGCTCTAGGACTTGGCCGAGGGATGGGTCTCCGGCTCCATCGGTGGCACGAGCGCTCGGGAGAGCTCAGAGAAGAGGGGCAGCAGGCGGAGTCCTCCGGGATGCCAGGGAAGGGCCTCCCATGCCAAGGAGGCGGACCAGTGGGCCCGGGATGTGCCTGGGAGGAAACGGTGGGGTCTTAGCTGAGGGTGGGGCGTGGAATGGAACTCAGACCTGCTTTCTGTGGGCCTGGGGTCTTCAGCCAGAACATGTTTAGGCCTGGCTAAAGTGTAACTCCTGAACAGTGGTTTTCAACTGGGCGAAATTGCCTCCCAGGGCCACTTGGCAATATAGGAGGACATTTTTGACAGTCATGGCTACTGGGGGTGCTACTGGCATCCAGTGTCTATAGGGTGCCGCTCAGCCCCCTACAGTATACAAGATACCCCTGGGAAGAGTCATCTGCTCCCAGTGACATTAGTGCTGAGGTTGGGGGACCCTGATTCAGAGGACATTCCGGGCATTGGGTTCCGGTGAGTGGAGAACGTGTAATTACAGCCACAGTGGAGACTGCTGTCTGAACTAAGCCTGGGGGCAGACACGCGAGCCTCCCCCAAAAGAGAGGAGCCAGGTGAGCTTCTGAGAGGCACAGGCTTCTGGCAGCAGAACAGATGGTTCCGGAATGGTGCCCCAGCAGATCCCCGGGCCCTCGCCTGTCTGGTTCCCATGGAGCAGGACACAGGGTTTCGAGCTCTGGGAGTGGCATTAGGTCCCCAGAGATTCTCTCTGCCTCTATCGGCAGGAAGCCAGCGGTCGTGGTGAGGCAAGGGTGGAGTTATGTGAAGGGTGACCTCAGGTACAAGGGTTTGGGCAACCAGGGGATCCCATATGATCCTGGGGGTTCCCTTGGAGCAGGGGAAAAGGACTTTTCTAGGTGCCTGCTGTCCTCCTGATCCCTGGGCCAGTGCCTGCGGGGAAGGGGACGAGGAGCCCGAGACTGTGGCACTAGGTGTGGTGCAGAGAAGCCTGCAGAGGTGGGAAAGGCAGGAGGACTGAGGTGGTGGAAATGGGGATCCCCCCCCTTACTTGTGCCTGCATCTGCCTTAGGTTTCAAAGGTTAATGTGAAGGGGATGGAGTTACTGAATCAGACCATTGTATGTATTTTCCAGGTTTTTCTCAGACTCTCCCAAGCCTGTCCTGCAGCCTCCTGCCCTCCACTCTGTTATCTGAATGGGGGGGGGGGTCTTCTTCATGGTTTACCCCACCTGCCTGACCAGTCCCAGAGGGCACCCCTGTGGGGACCTGGTGAGACAGAACATGTGCGCAGCCAGGCGGGGCTACCCTGTGTCTGCGTGCTGACCGGCAGCCCAGCCCAGGAAACGGGACAACTCTTGGGGCCTCTTATTTCTCCTGTTTTAACCCCAACGAACCAACAGGGGAGCGCAGTATGGGAGGAGAAAGTTGGGCCGGGTTGATAGCTCTTATCGAACGGGATGGAGCAGAGCCTCCCACCCAGTTTGGTGGCAGTCGCTTCAGATCTGAGGTGCTGGCCTTCTGGGATAGGGCTTGCTCTGTGCTTGGCTTGTCTATAGCAAAACCCAGACTCCCCAGAGTCCCTGGGGAAACAGCTATTCCAGAGAGAACATTTTTCAGGTCTCTGAGGACCTACTTATTTCAATATTTCTATTTCTGTTTTTCTAAAGTTTAAGAATTATTTTTTTAATGTTGAGCGATTGGCCTGTTAACCTTTCCCCTTTTTGGACATCCCAAAGTCATCCTCATTGTCAACGCAACTCTTGTTTGGGGCTACCCAGGGCGCGTCCTCAGGGGTCCTCGAAGGGGTAGCGCTCTCGGCCACGCACTGCACGTCTCCCAAGTTCTCGTTTGGTTTCAGTAAGTGCGTGTGTTCTCTTCCCTTCCTGCCATTTGATACATCTTGACTCTGTCCACATGCCTTCCTTCTGTCTCCGTTTAATTGTGTTGATTTTATTCTGCGGTGACCTTGGAAACCAGACAGCCAGAAACCTGGCTCACTGGGGCACGGAGGCTGGGAACTGTCAGCTTCTTCGTGTGCTGGGTCCCCCGAATCTTGTGAGTGAGGTTCCCATGCTTGACCATGCACGGACACGGTGACAGAGGCTCACCTCCCTCTGCCTCCTGCTTCTCTGGCGGGTTCCAGGTTGTCTCGGCAGCAGAGAGATGAGGCATTCGTCATCTTCATCCTCCTCCTCCTCAAGGTGACACTACCACCAACGTGACACAGCATTTCTGTGTTCCAGACCACATCCGAACTGCTTTTCCTGTAACATATGCTCAGGTGTTCTGTGAAGTAAGAACTATTCTTGTCTATCGATTTATGGTGAAGAGACAGAGGCACAGACAGGGCATGTGCAGGAGAAATACTGTTGGTATGGGGAGTGGCAGAGCTGGGACTCCCCCAAGTGCACCCCTGCCCCAGTCCTTCTAGTCTGGAGACGATGTGCTGGCCGCTGAAGGGACGCGGCCGCAGCCAGTGGGAGTGGGTCAGGCGTCGGGCCCCACGGGGAGGAAAGAGATGGGAGCAAACTCTACTGGACGCTTCATTTTGCTAGGACTGTGCTTTGTCACCGGGACTCATTGCGGCTTGCTCATCGAAAGCAAGTGCCCCGCCCCTTAGCTGGTGAGTGAGTGAATGCACAGCTCTCAGACCCGGGGGCTATCGCGCCCCGCCTTTGCAGGAGAGGGCCAGCTCTTCCCACCAACCAGCACTGCCCAGGAGAGCCCACCACACTGTGCCGAGACTGGAGGGACCGCCAAGTACACGGCCCAGCCTGAAACGTGTGTGTAGAAGTATTTTAGAGCCATTCGGTTGTGTTCGGGGCTGTGAGTTTCTGAAGGCGCATTCAAAGGGAGGAGAAAATGTGCAGGATGTTTAGACACACTCCCTCTGCACCCCCAGGTCATGTCGGGACCTGCAGGGGAGCCGCTCCAGGCATCGTGGTCCGGGGCCTGTTTGCTCTGCTGTGTCCACAGGGGCTGTTTGAGTCCCTGCCCTCCTGGGGCTTAGGGGACTGTCCCTGTTCCCAGTCGCCCACGGAGTTCTGATGGTCTGGCCCACACCAGGCTGGACGTGCCCGGGCCAGTGCGAGACCCGTGGGAGTGGGGGGCTGCTCTCAGCGCCCCTGCACCTACTCTGTGCACACAACAGGAGCTTCTCTGTTGTTGACCGGTTGGCAGTTTAAGAAAACTGAAAGAGACTTAACAAGTGTTCTTAGGCAAAAGTCTGGACAAGATAAGATAAAACGTCCGAGTTGAGCTGGTTATCGTTCCTGTTCTTGGGGCTCTCGGTGTAATGGGGACACATCGGGGCACGGGGTCCTGCTGTAGCGGACTTAGGGGAACTTGAGGAGCAGGCAGGCCAGTGAAAAACCACAGCTGGGGGTGCTGGACTCCACCTTCATGTTTTAAAATTTCACCCAATCTGTGCCCTTTCAAACCATGAATGATAAATCCTTGAACTGGGGTTTAGTGAAGGTAACTCTGGGAGGTCTTTCTAGGGGAGAATGATGGACCCCAGAAGGGACTTAATCCCCTTCCAGGTGAGGGCCTTGGAGACAGGTCACCTGAGCTTCTCTGCGCTGCTCCTCCCCCGAGGATCAGGCGGAACAGACAGGCATTCAGGCATTTGAGGGAGGGTGCTGATAGGGCCCACCTAGGACGTGCCAGGAAGCTGAAACTGATAATCCATGCAAACAGTTCAGCACAATTACTTAGATGATAGTTATCTTCAGCCTCCTCATTACCAGGGGTCCAGACAGCCCCTGGAGGGCCCATCTCTCTGGAACTTCTTTGCTTCTCTCCGCAGATGGCAATGACCACGTAGAGGTGGAAGACGGGACCATCGTGGGAGGCGGAGGCGGCGCCAGCCGGAAGGCCTTCACCTCGGGCATGAAGGAGATGGCCGTGTTACGGGAGAAGGCCACCGACCAGCACCGCCAGATGGGCAAAGGGGGCAAGCACCAGCCTGGCCCGGACGACTCCAAGAAGCTTCGGCCCCCATCTGCCAGGGTCAGAGAGGGCTGGGTCCAGTTGGAGGGGTGGAAGGACATGCAGAGGGAGTCTCACAGTGGCGGGAGGCACCCCAATAGGATCCACGTTCTGTGTTGCGCAGGCAAAACACTTTCCGGTTCTGCCCTTAACGTGCTCAGTGACCTTGAGGCCAGACAGCTGATCGGCATCTCTTCTGAGGGCCTCAGCGTCTTTGGCTGGGTAATGGACTGGGCACACGGCTTCTTGAAATCCCGTCCTTCCAAAGCCACCACATTTCTGCTTGGCTTTGGAACGCAGGCACAGAACCTGGATCTAGGGAAGGAGATGGACCCAGTCGAACGTGCTCACTCGTGTTCGATATGCAGCCCTTGCTTGGCTTCCCTCCCCCTCTGCCCGGCCCAGCTCTGCTGCCTTGGGTCTTGGCCCCGTTGGTTTATGGGAAGGAATGGAGCTTGGGCCATTGGTTTGGGGTAGAGCTATCCAGAGATAACCACTTGATTTCAGTATTTGCAAGTAGATTCCATCTTGACCCGGGAAGTCATGGCCACAGGTGGAGAGGAGTGAGAACTCACAGCCATGCGACTTCCTTTCAAGGGTGGGCGGGGCACGGGACACAGCAGCTCACAGGGCTGGGGGTCAGACGCCCCTCCGCCCCCCAGCTCCCTGTGTGGCCTGGGGAAGTCCCTTCTTGGCCTGAGCGTCTTTCTGGGGCTGCTCCCAGGGCCGTTCTCTAAGCGCCCTCTGTGCCCATTTGTACCCACAGACCCCCTGCCAGCAGGAGCTGGATCAGGTTCTGGAGCGGATCTCCACCATGCGCCTCCCAGATGAGCGGGGCCCTCTGGAGCACCTCTATTCCTTGCACATCCCCAACTGTGACAAGAACGGGCTGTACAATCTCAAACAGGTGAGAGCGGGTCTACCTGGGCTCTGGTGTGCCTTGTTCCTGCCCCATGCACCTGTACCCTCTGAGGTCTGAGACTCGAACACCAGAGAGCCAGGCTTCCTCCCTGGCCTCAAGCTTGGCAGAGACGGTTCCGCTTCCCCAGCTTCCTGCCAGCAGGGCCTGGTGTCCAGGTCGGGAGGGAGCCTCTTGGAGAGAGATGTGGGCTGACCCCAGCGCTTCTCGACCTTTCTTGATGACTTGGAGGTCATTGCCAGGCCTGGCCCTACAGCTGCCAGTCAGAAGGCTGGGTAGGGACGGCGTCTTCATTTTTAACAAGCTCCCAGGCATGCTGATAGTCCATGCACCACACTTCCAGGGTGACTGGTTTAAACCATTGACCAAGTAGCCTCTCTGGTTTTAAGGATCTCAGGGATGGAGAATCAGGGGTGGAGAAACATCCTTTAAAATATTTCTAAAAACAGTAACAGAACAGCATTGTCAGTGCATTAGAGAACATTAGGGAAGTGTAAGTAAACCTCCGGAAACCCGCTCCCTGCCCTTCCCCTCCTTCCAAGAGCCTTCTCCTCATCCCTGCGCACAGGTGGCATCGCGGTCCCTTGTCCGCCTGTGTCGGGAGGACAAGCCGACACATGAGGCGGAGAGAGAGCGTGGGCGGGAGGAAAGGGTGAGGCGTGTGGGCTCCACGGGACATCCTGTTTCCAAGCAGCAGTTCGGAGCCCTGGCTGCACACCATGACCTGCTGGGCAGCCTTACAAAACGCAGATGCGCCCGGCCGGTGTGGCGCAGTGGTTAAGCATGGACCATGCACCAAGAGGTCGCTGGTTCGATTGCCAGTCAGGGCACCTGGCCAGGTTGTGGGCCTGATCCCCAGTGGGGGGCATGCAGGAGGCGGCCAGTCGATGTTCTCTCTCATTGATGTCTCTCTCTTTCCCTTTCCTTTCCTCTCTCTCTAAAAAGCAATAAAGAAAAAAAATGTTAAAAAATACGCAGATGCCAGGGCCGCACCTCCAGAGTTTCAGATTTTGTGAGCCTGGGTGTTTGCTGGGCACTGGGATTTTCCAGGTTCCCCTGGTGATTCTCGTGGGCAGTCAGGGTGAGGTGGAGCGTGGATGCGCAGAGCCAGGAGATGGGGCACAGGCTTGAGTGACGGCATGAAAGTGGGTGGCTGCAGGGGTGTCCTCCATGGCCTCCTCTTCTCTCTCTTCAGTGCAAGATGGCTGTGAATGGGCAGCGTGGGGAGTGTTGGTGTGTGAACCCCAACACCGGGAAGCTGCTTCAGGGATCCCCTACAGTCCGTGGGGACCCGGAGTGTCATCGCTACTACAACGAGCGGATGCAGTAAACCACAGCCAGCAGGTGCCTGGCTCCCCCCACCGCCTCTCCAAACACAAGCAGAGAGAGGAAAGTGCTTGGGTGGTGGGTGGGGAGGACCCCCCAGGAGTTCTGACACATGTATTTATATTTGGAAAGAGACCAGCACTGAGCTCGGCACACCGGCTGCCTCTCCCCTCCCAGTAAGAGGGGCTGCACGGCCCCTGCTGGAGCCCCCGCTGGGAGGAAGGGGTGCTTGCAGAGGCAGAGGTGGGGTCCAGGTTTGGGAGGGGGAAAACAAATTTTTATTTTTGAACCCCTGTGTCTCTTTTGCTTAAGAATAAAGAAAGGAAAAATAAAGTGTGTATCTTTTGCCTGAGTCTTTGGGGAAGCAGGAAAGGCACAGCCTGGGTTTTCCATCCTGAGACAGAAAGGAGAGACGGGACGGGAGAAAGGCAGATCTCCCTCCTGTGACCTTGGCCTGTGGGAACTCGAGGTCTGCCATCCAGGTGGACCCTCCCTTGCAGCCCCAGGACCCCGTGTCTCCCGCCTGAACCCCCAGCTGAGGCGCTGGTCCCTACCCCCTGGGGTGGGCACTGGGGGAGGAAGGGTGGAGCAGGTGTCTGTCTTCCCCTCACCCCATTTAGATGATACTCCAAAGGGTGAAACACTGGAACTGGGGGGGCCTCTGGCCCCTGAGATACGGAGAGCTTCCTGTTGCATGGGAAGATGTCCATTCAGCCCCCAAGAAAAGGGGGTGCACTGCCATCAGCCAGCATGCTCACAGAGGTGCTGCCTCAGGATCAGGCACAGCTCTCGGGGGGCAAAGGCACTGCACCCAGAACAGCAAAGGTGGAAGGGACTGGAAGCCCGAGGCACAGGTGTGGCCCCATTTCGGACGCAGAATTCCATGCACAGCTCTACTCGCTTTGTTCTGTTGGGCCTCAACCCCTGGTGAGATGCGGGGGCTCCGGACTTTGCAGTGGGCCACCGGGGAAGGAAGGCCCACTGTCCACCCCTCTTTCCTCCCCAATATGTGGTGGAGAGCCCCACCGTTTGTTACCTACCCCCTCTTCTGGGTCAGGAGCCTGAATCCGTCCTGACACAGGAGGCAGAGGCACTGCCTTTACCTGGTGGGAGGAGCTCTTTTGAGAGCAGAAGAAAACCAGGTTCCCCAAAGCAGACGGGTCTCTGCCCATGTTTGGTCTCTTAGCTAGTGGCTGGCCACCGGGAAGTACATTAATTCAGTTCATCTTCATGAATCCACAAACAAGGCGCTATTACTAACTCCACTTTACAGAAGAGGAAAGGACCCAAGCGGTGCCCAACCTCCAGCCCCAGGCCTGGAAGCCCCCGGCTCCTGTGGATGCTGCGCAGCCTGGGGATACACCGCCCCCTGTGGGGTGGTTGGAGAGCCTGCAGCGCTTTGTTTATCCGCGCTGGGTGCTCTGCCTGCCTCTCCTCTCCCATCCTCTCTGCTCCTCAGCAGCTCTTAGCCGCTGTCCTGGGGTTGGGCGGCCCCTGCTGGCTCTCCGGGGAAGTGCACTGCTTAACCTTGGCTAACATTCGAATAACAGAGAGCGCTTAAAAAAAGAAAGACAAATACTGCATGATCTCACTTATTTGTGGAATATAAGGTACGAAATAAGCTGATGAATAAAATAGACCCAGAGACGTAGAAAGGAGTATGGTTCAGACTGACAGACCTCAGAGAAGTGGGGGGGAGGAAATGGATGAGATGAGCCAAAGAACTTACACGCATGTATGTGCAACCAATGGACACAGACAACAATGCTGGGGGTGGGGGACGAAATGGGGAGGAGGGGGTCTATGGGGGAAAAAAGGAGAAACATCGGTAACAAAATCAATTAATAAAAATTGAAAAAAAAAGAATGTGAAAAATGAGTGCTATGGCAGAGAAGCTACACATCGCATGCGTATCTAACCTAGTCTAGAAAATTGACAAAGTTTTTACAAAAACAAAAAAAGTTACCTTTACGACTCAGCCGTTCTCAACCTGTGGGTCGGGACCCCTTTGGGGGTTGAACGACCCTTTCACAGGGGTCGCCTAAGACCATCAAAAAACACTTATTTCCGATGGTCTTAGGAACCAAGACACTGCTCCTCTATCTGTCTCCAGACGGGTCTGCCCACATGCAGATACGCCCACATACAACACGAGGACCTGCATTAAAGGGTCACGGCACTAGGCAGGATGAGAACCACTGCAAGTTTAGTGGATCTCTGAAAGATGAGGAGAGTTAACCAGATGAAGAAGAAGAAGGAAAAAAACCAGGGCCTCATCATCAAAGATTCTGATCTGATTGGTGCTTAATTGGTGCCCAGGCAGGTGCTTAATTTTTAAAAAAGTTCTCAAGGTGATTCTTTTTTTTTTTTTTTTTTAAATAAATCAGTCCTGTGTCTTTATTAAAGAGAGTTAGAAAGAATCTACACCTGACAACCAAGGGATGAGGTACTGGCCAGAAAGGTAGGGAGGGTTCAAGTCCTGGGGATTCAAGGTCAGGCTGATGGCCTGGGAGGGGCCAAGGAGACCAGGTCCTAGCAGCAGCTGAGGAGGTGCCTGCGGGTGAGCTTTCAGGCACTGGGTGATCAGCTGGTTCTGCAGGAGGTACAGGGTAGGTTGGGTTGGCCTGGGATCTCCCTGAAGCCACACTGCCTTGTCTACCTAGATCACCCACTGGTCCTGATCCTGTTCGTTGCCTTCCATGTCCACCTCATTGACCTCTCCATCATCAGGTGACTCATTGTAGTCATTCATCTCGTCCATGTCCTGCATGTCCTCATCATCCTCTGAGTCCTCTTCACTATGCTCGTCACCATCTTCATCCTCCTCTTCCTCCTCTCCATCCTGCTCTGAGGCTGGCTTGCCAATAGGTACCAGGTTGTTGTCTTTCTCTGCAATGCTGTGGAGCCAGGCCTGATGCCGCTGTTCTTGCTGCTGCAGCTCTGTCTCTTCCACACAAGGTCGATCCAGATGAAACCACAGAGTCTCAGTCACACGGGGGAAGAGGGAGGAAGGGAAACAAGGTGGACATGGTTCCTAGACGCGCAGGGAGGCAGCAGCTGGCAGCAACCCCTCCAAGGTGATTCTGATGCAGAGCCAGGGATGAGGCAAGAAGAATGCCGGGGTCAGGACACCTGGGCTTGCATCCTATCTCATCACTGATTGTGCCACTGCTCCGAAGCTACGCCGCGTGCCTTCTCTGAGCCTCGGTTTTCGTCGTCTGTCTAATGGGGATGAGTTCAGCCACCAGTAACAGGGTGGTATGAATGTGAGGTGGTGGATGAGAAAGTGCTTGGATACAGGACTGTATAAAATGGGAAGGATTATTATGGGGTGATTGCTGGGGTCAGCCTCTGTTCCCCATGGTTGCCACAAGCTTGCTTGGGTCATTTCTGAAACATCTTTGTAGAAGGACCCTGATGATGCCACAATCGCCCTGCCCAGTTCCATGTCACTTGCCCACAGTCTCCTTGGATGATCTCTAAACCCTCTGAAGAGGGATTTGGGGGTAGGGGTGAGCTGCACTACCACTGCGGCTCTAGCTACAGGCCCCACGCTGATGTATAAATGGCCCAGAAACCTTTGCTGAGGGAAAGCTTAATTTCATCCATGTAGGACGATGGTTGGCCGGACCGGAATCTTGGAGATGTCAAACTACTGCTCACCTTCTGGTACGAACTTCGTTCAAGTTTAAAAACCTGGCAGTTGAGAGACCCGGGTTATACTGCCGCTATGTGGCAGCACAGAAAATTGCAGCTGAGTTTACAGGGCCTCCAAGTCTCTTTCGCTTAAGAAGTGGTCCCAAGAGTCCAAAACGAGTCAATTGGGAATGCTGCTTCCACTTGGGGAGTCACAGGACTTATCCCAGAGCTAGAACCTTAGGAAGAGACCTGAAAATATGCATAAAAATATGCTTCCTGGGTTATTCTAATCTGCAGAATCACCTGATTTCTCGGTGACCTAACTTGTAGGATTCAGGGTAAAATGAAAATACGGAGCCCCTTGTTCAGGAATTATTAAGAATTTCAGGACAGCAACAGCAGAACCTTAAGCCGAGCCCAGGGCCCGTGTGAATGCAGAGGTTACATGCTCACAAAGCAGGCCCTGTGCTTGAACCCTCTGAATTTGGAGAAGCCCCCTGTCCTGACCACATCTGTCAAATGTGTCTTGAATACTAGCTACATATGATGTGGTAGTTGAGAGCATGGATTTGGAGAGGAGGCAGTCTTTGGAAAGACTTTGGATGCTACTACCCGTGGCCTGTGTGACTTTGGACACCTTTCTGACCTCTGAACCTCATTCATTTCCTCTTTAACTATTAGGATTATTTCTATCTGAAAGGATTGCTTTGAGAATCTAAAATAATGTCTGCCACATGGTAAGTGTCGCTTAAACCTAGTTAGTCGTGTGTTCCAGACTTGGGGTTTTAACATATGATGTTAAAAAAGATGTTGGTCCTATCCTGAAGAGCTGATGTTCTAGAGGAGAGAAAAGCCACGTAACTCCATGATGACCACAGGTGTGGTGGAAGTGTGCCCAGGTGCAATTAGGAAGAAGAGCCATGCCTCAGAGGGGGTGCAAAGACAAAGTTGTAAGGAGGAAGTGGGATTCAGGAAAAGGAGTGCTGTGTGTGTGTGTGTATGGGGTGGGGTTTGCACAGGGAGAATAGCATGAGCTACTCAATGAACACGGTCACCTACCCATGGTAAAGGGAGCGTGCAGGTAGAGAAGTAGCTGGAGAGGAAGCCAGAGGAAAGCTCATCAGAAAGGACCTTGGGTGTCTTGCTGAAGGATTCAAATTTTGGACGGAAAGCTCTCAAGAACCAAGGAAGAAGTTTAGGCCCGGCCAGTGTGGCTCAGTGGACTGAGCGCCGTCCCATGACTGAGAGGTTCCAGTTCGAGTCCCAGTTCAGGTCCTGGTTCAATTCCCGGTCAGGGCACATGCCCAGGTTGCAGGCTTGATCCCCAGTAGGGGGCATACAGGAGGCAGCGGATTGATGTTTCTCACATTAATGTTTCTATCTTTCTTTTCAAAAAATGAATAAAAACTTTTTTTTTTTTTAAAGGAAAGAATTTAGGCAGAGGATAGGCATGACTGGGTCTTTGTTTAGAAAGTGGACTCCAGCCCGGCTGGTGCGGCTCAGTGGTTGAGCATTGACCCATGCACCAAAGAGTCACCAGTTCGATTCCCGGTCAGGGCACATGCCCAGGCTGTGGGCCTGATCCCCAGTGCAGGGCATGCAGGAGGCGGCCAATCGACGTTCTCTCACATCGATGTTTCTGTTTCTCTTTCCCTCTCTCTTCCTCTCTCTCTAAAATCA